CTCTCGCGCTGTCTCTCTCTCCAAACATCCAACAAGGGCCTCCTGATACCCACATGCATATACAAGGAAGTGTTTCTACTTACACAAATGCTTGCCTAGTAAATTCCAGTCACCAATGTTGTGTCTTACTGCGTGGCTTACGGTTCTTTCAGCTGAGGAAGGTCGTGAACCTTGACCCGGGGACACCAGACACTGCAGACTCAGCCCTCTTTCCTGGCCATGCACAATGAAACTTGTTCTAACCAGCTGGATCCGCCCCATTGCGCCCACGATGCTCATTTGCAATCCTTAGCGTGACCACCGTGAACTAGAACTTTTAAATGTCTGAATTTTCTTTCCTCCTGAGCACTCTTCTCAGTAAGTGTCTTTATGGGAGCATTCTCCCACCCACAACGTTAACAGTGGGTTTTTTTTTTTTTTTAATGTCCCTCTTGTGTTTTTTATTTCATGTCATCTGGGTGGCATATCCCCTAACAGTCTCATCCTAACTTAAGCAGTCCGGCGCGCCACGTGCTGCTCAGGTGCAGGCAGAGCGCAAGCACGCAGGTCCATGCAGAGCCGGAACCGGTCCTGGGAAACTGAGAAAAGTGCCTGCTGGATTCCAACCAACGGAGGCCGTAGGGGAGCTGCCTGGGAGTAGGCCTCCGCCCGCGCAGAGGACCTTTTTACTCCTCCTTTTTTTTTTTTTTTTTTTGGTCGTTTCCTCCTGATGCTTCCTCCTGATGCTACATCTCTTCGAAGCCACCTGCATAGACCTCGTGCAGACGCCCCGCCGCGCGGCCCCCTGCGTCTGCCTCAGGTCCCGCGGCTGGTGTGCGCTCTCTGCTGCGCACACAGCACAGCTGAGCAGCTGACTCAGATAGTGAGTGGAGTTCACAAAAGCGCTGCTCACTGCTCTGGCGCAGTGACGCTGCCGGCAGGATGCGAGTCTCTCACAGCGTCTTCTGCCATCCTCTTACCAAACGCCCGGCCAGACGCTGCCACTGTGGGCCGGGGTCGGCTTGGTCTCCTCCCTCCTTCCACGCGTTCCTGTGGCTGGACCTTCACCTCATCCAGATTGTAGCTCTGATTTCTGCTCCTCACATGGGGCTCCCTGGCCACCAAATCTAGAACTCTAAAAATGGCCACCACCCTCAAGCTTCCCTAAATCTGGCCAGAATGTGGCCCACCACGTTGGAGTCAGACATAGACTTGTCTGTGAGGTGCACTGTCACCCAGAGACTCCCTCAACTGCGAGGATTGGTCACAAGTTGAATCTTCACAGCAGGGAAAAGATTCAGCCCCTTCCTATTTTCGAAAGAATTGGGAAGAATGGACACACAAGCTTATGCGATTTTAAAATCTATCAGCCTCGCCTGCACGTCAAAGCCTCCCCAGTACTTGAACTGTTCCACGTAGGGCTCCTAATTCTGGAATTTGTCCTGGGGAAACGATGAAGTCATAAATTAGGCGTGTGCTGGTATGCTTATAATAATGAAAAACTAAAAGATGCCACACAGCCACGGAAGAGTATGGAGCAACAGGCCAGGTGTCTGATGCTGGTGGCCAAGCAAAAGGAAGCCTGTTCGGGCCACAGAACAGCGTCCAGCAAAGCACGGCGCTCCGACACACGCCACAGCAGACGCAACCTTGCTGACACGGCCCTGAGTGAAGCGTACCAGCCAGGAAAGGACAAGTGGGTATGTCTGCTTGCTCAGAGCTTAGGAGTACTGAAAACCACAGAGACACAAAGTAGAACTAGGGATTGCCAGGGGCTGGGGGGTGGGGACAGAGGATGAGGGGTTAGTGTTTAGTGGGCAGGAATTTCAGTTCGGGAAGATGAATGGATACGAATGGTGATGATGGAGCATAACAACGTGAACATCACAATGCCATGGAACTGCTTGCTTAAAAATAGCTACCGGAAAATAAATTTTCCTCTATGTATGTAACCATTATAAAAAATGAGAGCAAGAAAATTCTCCATAGGGAATAGACAGTAGATAATATTGTTTCTATTTTCTTAAAAAAAAAAATCACTGAAAGCTCAAGGAGAGAAGACAAGACTGGAAAGGCTGGGGCTGGAGAGATGGCTCAGTGGTCTAAAGCACCTACTTGGAACAAGCTTGGCAAAGCACAGGGACCGCGGTTCGATCCCCCAGCGCCACATGCCAGCCAGCCGCGCCCCCTTCACACTTTCCTGTATTTCCAGATGTTCTAAGTAAACATGTAGCAGTGTTAGGACATCAAAATAAAATTTAAAAGCGCTCTTCCTGCAAGCCTGTCTCCTCCTCTCCGTTGTTATTCAGCAGGGATGACTACCTGCGAGAGTGGGGCCTGCGCATTTCCGCTCGGCAGCCTGTGTGCCCGGCAGGACATAAGTGCCACCCGGGGCAAAGACGCTTTGATCTATTCTTGCTGGATCCTTAATTCTTGAACATTTCCAGGTCCTTAATGGGCACTCTATAAATACTTCAGTGAAAAAGAATGAGTCAACGAATTAATGGATGAATAAACAAATAAATAAGTCACCCTCTGCATCTCCATCTGTCCCTGCTGCTATAATAAAACATGTTAGACTGGGTGATTTATAAATAACGGAAACGTATTCTTTTCATAGCTCTGGAAGCCGGGAAGGGGAAGAACGCAGCTCCAGCAGGTTCGCGTCTGGCAAAGGCGCGCTCTGGGTCAGGCAGAGCCTCCTGCACACCGTCACGCGACAGGGAGGGCAAAGGGCCCTTCACACCTCTTCTACGAGGGCACGGTCGGGGCTTAGATCTCTAGCGCCCACCCCATGGGCTCCTGTGTCCAGAGGTGGGGCTTTTGGAGGGTGACTGGCAAACGGGCCCTGTGCCTAGATCGCTCAGGTGATGAGCTCCCAGCGCTGGTAGGAGGCGCTGGTGGGAGGAGGGCGGTGAGGAAGTGTGCGGGGCTTCCTGGCCACCCACCGTGAGCCGAGCAGCTTCCCTCCCTCCGCAACCTTCCGCCACGCTGCTCCTGCCTCGGAGCCAGCAGCTCTGGGCCGAATCCTCTACAACTGTGATCCAGGCTAAGCTGTCCTTCCTGAAGGCGCAGGCTTGGAGTATTTTGTCCCAGCCACAAGGAAGTGGCCAATAGGCACTAACCTCATTTGTGAGGCTTCTGCCTTCACAACCTGGTCCCCTCCTAAAGACTGCAACTCATAATACTCACAGGCAGTGAGGTGTCCACCTGTGACTGGGGGTTCGGGACCAGACCACAGCCTTGAGGTCAGCCCAGTGGCACCCTTTGTCCTGGGCCCCCATCCCAGATACCTGGGATGTCACCTCTTCCTCCTATCTTTAGGGCACTCAGGATTACAGGGAGGGTTTTCTCAGTAAAAGGATGATCAGAATGGAGGGGAAAGGCCTGGCCTAAAAATGCTCCCAGAATACTGTAAGGCTGACAGGGTGACTAGCCTAGAAACCATAAAGATAACTGAATGGCCTAACAATGGGAAAGTGAATCTGAAAAAGAGAAGAAATATTGTAGCTGTCTCCAAATGCTGGTAGAACAGCCAGGAAGAACTTGCATTTATTCAGTAAACATCCACCACGTGTCTTTCAGGTTCTAGGGGCTGAGGCAGGAACCAAGTGTTTCCAAACAATGGGATTAGATTTCATGTGTTTGTGGGTTGTGGTGGTGCATTCCTATAATCCCAGCACTCTGGAGACTGAGGCAGGAGAATTGTTGCAAGTTCAAGACCAGCCTGGGCTACAAAGTGAGCTCAAGGCCAGCCTGAACTGCATAGAGAGACCCTGTCTCAAAAAGAGAAGAAAAAAAAAGATACAAAATATTTCATGTGTTTGATTGCAGAGGACTGAGGGGGAGAAGGTTGGACGTGATCAGAATGCCTCATAAGGCTGAGTCCAAATCAGTGCTTCTTAAAGTATATAACATGAAATACTAGGGATGTGTGCCTTGGTCATGTAGGTTATTAAAAAAAAAAAAGAACTGGGCATGGTGGCACACACTTGTAATGCCAGCACTTGGGAGGTTGAGACAGGAGGATCACAGCGAGTTTAAGACCAGCCTGGGGTCTACAAAAGTGAGCACAAGGCCAGCTCAAACTGTGTAGTAAGATCCTGTCTCAAAAAAATCAAAAAATAATTCCCTGGCCCAAATCAGTTCAGCATTTTTTTGAGATAAAGTTGGACTCTAGACTTCAGCCCAAGACCTCTGAGAGTCCTCCACGAGCCACTCCATACTACGATCCTCCTCAAGAGCCACAAGTCTGCCTCTCAGGTGCCTCAGTAAGGTACTTCTCCTAGGTGTGGGAGTCCAGGGGAGAAATGTGAGGGCACGTTCCCCCCCCAACGGTGAGAGCATTTACCTGCAGGGGAGTGGCCAGCAGCCTGGCCCCAGAGAGACACTGAGGCACGCCCGAGATGCTGGGCTCCACGCAGCAGACGCCAGCCCCTGCTCTGTGTCCTTTGCCAGTCTGGCTCCCCTCTCCCCTCCCCTCCCCTTCCTTCGTCCCAGACTCCACTTCCACGCTCCTCTCCATCCTTGCTTTGCACGTGGCTCTGATGAGGCTCGCTAGTGTTGCCGCCTTGCCCCTGAGCTCTGCCTGGCAAGGATTCTGACTTGCTTCCCTGAGCCGCCCAGGGCTGCCTGGCCAAGCTCACTACACAGGAAGGAGGAGGCCCAGACCAGCTCTAGGAGCAGGGACAATGCACGCAGGGACAGCCCACTTCCAGCTATCTCCTTAATGGGTCTGAAATTCTGTAATGTATATTTCTAGGCATAATTTTAAATATTTAGGTACCTGGGAAACCAGCTATTTCTGTCAATTGAATCATCTTACTCCATGGAACCCTGGTGCTTTGCTGAAGGAATAAATGAGACAAAGCCATTCATGCGAGCTTGGTCCCCTGGGAAGACGCTGCCTTCAGCTGAGTTAATAAAACTCCATCATGACTTTGTGGGCTTGCATGAAATCCCTGCAGAGGAAACTGCTACACCCTGAAGTGTACAGGGTGGCACCGATTCTGTCCTCTTACCTTGTAACTTGAGTTCTCATTCCAAAATCCAGAGACCTCATTGATTGGAGCACTTCGATGCAGCCCATGTACTAGAACAAGAAGAGAGAAGAGCAGGTAGGATAAAAACATCACTGGGCTTTTTCTGCACAACATGGGAACTTCCTCGGAAACAGCTGGAATCAGCCCCTGTCATCGAGTTACATTTGCACACCCAACAGCCCTGGATATTTCCAGCCACTACTGGGGACACACCTTCCACCTCAGGTCAGCCATAAGAAGACATTGGCTGAACCCAAACTACAGTATCATCCGTGCATAACACGGCCAAACATGAGCAGAGAAGAACGGAGGATCTGGGTTGGCAGCTGTGGCCCAGGCCAGCCAGTGTGAATGTGCGCCCCGGCTCTGCCCTTGCTTTCCCATGGAGCCTCAGCCAGCGGTTCACCTTTTCCACATCACTGCAGTTAGAACTGTTGTAAGAGGCACCTTATTTCATACATGTAAAGTTTTTAGAGCTATGTGTACATATGCATGCGTGTATGTGTGTATGCATGTGTGTGTGCAGGGAGAGGTGCCCACATATTAGAGGAAGGAAAAATAAACAGGAGACAAATAATACAGGGCTGTCCAATCATTTAAGAGGCAGTAATGAGCACATGGATGCGAGAACGCAGACTTCGGTAACACAAGGTTTCACCATCTTTTGCAAGATCGCTGAACCAGTGAGGCAGTTCAGCAAAGGAAGGAGGAGTCCTGTGCCACCACCCCAGGGACTGCACGCCTGGCCTGAACGTGAAGCGTCGGAAGAGGAGCTGTGCTCACGCAGTGAAAAGGCAGCTTCTGTGTGTAATGTGGGCGGCAAGGAGCCCAGTAGGGCTGCTGCCACTGATGTGACACCAATGCAGCGGGAGGCTGCAGTCAGCAGCGGAAAGAGGTGGGAAGTGGAGGGGGGCAGCTTGGATGCTCCCATCTGGGGAGAGGAAGCAATGACAGCCCATGTGGGAGTGAGGGGAGACGCAAGTGACATCACAGACACATACACCATGGCTGGTTCCAAGGTGGGTGGGATTGGAAGAACGGGACTGGGATGAGTCAGGCTGAGAGGCTGAGTCAAACCCTCCCTGCCGGGGCCTCCGAGGGAACAGCAGCACCATTGACAGCCCAGGGAGACAGGAGGGGGAGAGGATGAACCACTTCAGGATCCGCCAATGATGGTGATGCTGCTGGGGCAGCCAGGAAGGAGCCAGCTGGCAGCTGGAAAGTGCATTCCGGCTCCTGGGGATGAACGACGCCTGCAGACGCAGGCCTAGCCTTTGGTGGGGCTCTGCCAGGCAGGTGGTAGGAGGAAATCCTCTCCAGAGGGCCTGCCGGGTTTCTCCAAGACTCTGGACCAGGTCAGGAAGGCCAAGCCATCTGGTGCTAGGGGACCTGCGGCTCCTTGGAAGTGACCCTGTTCCTGTCACCCTTTCCTCCTTCTGCTTGAAAATGGGCAAGCACCATGGCAAGTTGGCAGGAACAGGGGACAGGGCTCTGCCTGGACATTTCTTACAGTATTTCTCAGCAGGTGCTGTCAACTTAGTGTCCTAAAAACAGCTCAGCTCCCTATCTTTTAAAGTCCTAGATTTATGGAAGGGTTGGCCACTGAGCTACTCCTTGTTCAGGACACCAGTGGTTCCTGGGGCTAGGGACAACACACTGACCCGGACATTCTTAGCCAGATTATTAGCCACGCCCCTCTTGAGGTCTCCCGGATTGGCCCAGGAAGCATCCTGGATCTCGATTCTGGCCCTGTCAGCCTGTATTTCCAAGGCCTGGATATCACCGGGAAGTAAGTGATATCTACAGATTTCTTTAGCATAAATCATAAGGCTTCTTTGGAGAGAGAAGCCAGATTTAGAGGTACTCTAGAAAGCCCATTTTAATAACTGTCAGAAATGGAGCTGCTGGGCTGGAGAGATAGCTCAGCGGTCTAAGCACCTGCCTGGGAAGCCCAAAGACCCAAGCCAGCCACTGAGACCAGATGCATATGCCTGTGATCCCAGTGCTGGGGAGGCTGAGACAGAAAGATCACTATGAGTCCAAGCTGCAGAGCTAGACCCTGTGCCAAATAAATAAATAAATAAAAGATTTAAAAAAAAAATTTAAAAAGAGAAGGAGTTGCCAAGGGCCTGGGCTCCACAGTAGGTGGGTGGAAGAGCGTGGCCTCCGTGGCCCTTCAGCTGCTCCTGCCCTCAGCTCCCACTTCTGCTCCAGACTCCTGACTCTCTGTTGAGGCAGGATTTAGCAAAAATCATGAGGTACGGATCAAGAAACCAGACAGAGTAAGTATGAGTGGGCCAAAATATTAAAAATCCAGGAGGTAAAGGAGATCCTGCCCCCCAAGCCCCAGGCACGCACCAGCCTGAGGGTGCACAACCCTGGCCTGGCTCCAGCCTCATCTGCACTGCAGTGATGGGTCAAACCAGGTGACCACAGGACTGTGACCCCTGTCCACCCCCAGGGACAGATCCTCTCATAACCCAGAGCCTGCTCTCACCCTGCGGAGCAGACCCTTACTTCTTTTGCTTACTCTTGCAATGCCTTTGAGGAACCTTCCTCTTGCTTCTCTCTCTGGATGTCCCACTCAGCTGTGTTCACGACAGCAAGAACCTGAGAAGAACTCCACAGTGACTGCCCATCCCGTGACACCGTCTCCTACACTAGCGGTTCGGGGCAGAAGGGGCTCTCTACCCAGAGCAGCGGGCCTGGCCTCACCCATGGTTCCCTCGGGACGCCTCGTCGGTGCAGAGCAGATGCCATTCTCATCTTTCTCTGCAGCTAAGTCACAAGTGGGTTTATCAGTGCACGAAGGTGCCGACATCCTCCACCCCCGGCACAGGGAATCCCACTCTTGCATATTTGCCTAATATCCAGCGTCAGAACAAACTCATCACATAAAGCTATGGCCCTGCTTTGCCGGCGCCTGCTTACCTTTCAGCCCCGGTCACTCTCCCGCACGCCCCTCACCATTGCCTGGCCTCCTTCCATTCCTCAGATCCACCCAGTTCCTCCCAAAGATAGGGCTCAGCACCTGCTGGCCCTCTGCCTCTGTCTTCCCTCTGCTCTGCAGCTCTGAGTCTTCTTGATCCATCAGGTTCCGACCTAAGTGACACCGCTCATAGGTCCCTCCCGCCTCCCTTCATCACAGCCCCTGTCGCCACATCGCTGTAGTACCAGGCCTGTTTGATAACTTCCTTGCTTGTACCCTTGATCTTGTGCCCCCCAAGAGAACCACAGACCCCCCCCCAGCACCCTCTGGGTGTTCAGTCAATACCAGCTGAAAGCCTGGGACAGCATCTAGTGTCCAACTCTTCCAAACTTTAAAATGAGCAGGGTGGAGGGAGGCTGAGGGAGTGGAAGCTTCGAGCAGTCTCTCCACCCTGGAGGAACAAACAACAGGAACATCCAGGTCCTAAGAGGAGACCCGGGCGCCACAGGCTGGGGCGCTCTCCCCTCAGTCACTTTCCTGCTGCTGGGGCACAGCATCCAACATCTGTGACTTAAAGGAAGAGCACTGTAGTCCCGCTCAGGATTGTGGAGGAGGCAGTCCATGGCTGGTTGGCTCCCAGGAAGAAGCAGGTGACAGGGTGTGGTGCAGAAAAGCAGGTCCTACTACGGCGGCCAGGAAGCAGAGAGAGAAGGGAAGAGCTGGGTTAGGTCGTACCTCCAGCTGGCCTCGCCTCCTGGTGGGACAGGACTGAACTCGCCCATGGTGAGCCTACTTGTGAGTGTGGCGCTCCGTACCCAGTCACTGTCCAGACACATGAGACTTGGGGCCCTTTTAGATCAGAAGCATGATGCTAAGCTCTACAGCTTCCGCAGTTCCCCCATAATTCACCCCATGTGTGCTAGGTCTGGCTTCCCCACTTGACAGGCTGCTGACAACCTAGACGGCAGGATCACAGGGAAGCAGAAGAGAAGGCACCTGCTTCCAGGTGTCTCGCCTGCGTCAGGCTGGAGCCGGAACCAGACCTGGACAACCCAGAGGATGCTGGAAGGGCTGGGAGAATAAGCCACATTCTGAAGAACTGGGGGGCAGACAGACAAGGGGGTCAGGTAGGACAGAGCCACTCCAAGCTGGCAAGGCCTAAGGCCCATGTGAGACACAGTGTCCACGTGGGCTCAGCTCTCAGCCCAGGAGATGTGTCACCAGTGGTGGCATTTGGTTTTCAATGAGGATGGGGATTTCAGAACTTGGGGATAAGGGAGAGAGGGTCCCCAGTGCTTGTCCTAGTCACACTTCATGGCAATAATCGCCGTCCCCAGGGAGGGCCCTGGGTCCCCTTCCCTGATGGTTAACCTGACTTGTCAGTCAGCAGCCACACAAGTGACACCTTGGATCACCCTCGATGTCACCCAGCTCCAGGTCAGAGATGGTCTGAGACAACAGCAGTGGGTACAGTCCCTGTCCACGGCAACTAAGCCGTGGCTACTCCAACGCTGGGAGGGAACCTGGTGTCCCCCTGACTGCACAACCTCTTCTTAAAGCCACTGTTGTGAGCAGTGGGAGGGGACTGTGCTTAAAGGGTATCTGCCCACTAGTAGGTGATGGCCACGTAGGCAGAGTGGAGGGCTGTCAGGGCCCTGGCCAGGAGAGCCCTGTGCATTTGCTAGAAACTGCAGGCAGAACACCCTATTCATTTATTAGGTGCAGGTCGGCATGAAACGTGGTCTGTGTTCTCAAAAAAGCTGGCCCCATAAAGATAGAGCAGCCGAGGGGAGAAAGGACCTATCTGTTTTCGCAAGGCAATCCGCTGCTCTTAACTCCGTTTAATAGATGAGGAGATTAAAGCCTGTGAAAGACCTGGGCCTGGCTCCATTTCACCATTCACTAAGCCTGAATTAGGGTTTATTTTAGAGTCTGCAGCCCGTGGCTGGGGCCCTGTAGGACAAAATGAGAAGGAAGAGAGGGGTCCCGTTGCCTCCTGCCCGTTATCCCTGCGGGCCACTTCCACGAGGGTCACACTCAGGGGAGACCGGGCCATAATGAGGACAGCAGACAGAATTAAATTTGAGTTGCCCTGGGGACAGCCAGCTTCCCCAATTCCCAGCCTGGCCCTGCCATGGCAAGGAAAGGAAAGGACCCTGGAGACCTTTATTTGAGAAGGACAGTGTGGGGAGGAGGGGCGGAGCTCCCCAGCCAGCACTGGCAGAGGTGGGGGCCCTCCAACCCTGACTCCCTGCATGGCCCCAGGCCCAGGGATGATCTGTATCCAACTTCCCTGGGTCTAGGCAGAGGTGAACAGCCAGCTCACAATGACCAGGATTTGGGGCAATGCATTCCAGTGGGGGACCTACTGGGGTTTTCAGAGAGAATGAATGACAGCTGGCTTATGGGATGATCTCACCCAGACCCTCACTGAATGACTTCAGGATGTCACCTACGCACAGAAGATGGATCCCTGTCTTCTCAGAAAGGATGTGCACAGAGACCGCAGGGGCGCTAGCCGTGGCTGCCTCTGGCATCCCTGGGAAAGGGCAGCTTTGTGCTCTTCATTTACATTTGGATGGAGTGCCTTTCCACAGATGAGGCGTTCCCTCTCACAGAATGTTCCTGCCCCTGCGGTCAGAGGAGTGGAGAACACTACGCTAAGCAAGATGGTTAAGGCAGAAGCCTGCAGTGCTGCACAGGGTTAAAATAAGAACAACACAGCGCTCACTGGGGCGCAGTACAGCACCAAGTGGGCACAGCGAGGGCCTACCCTTCAGGCAAGTGGCAGTGGCCGCCAAGGTGGAGGAAGACCCTGCAGGAGCTTCCTGCTGTCTTTAAGTAACTTCTAGCCCCTCTCATGTGCAGGCACAGGGCAAAAGGGCGGTTCCTGCCAGCCTCTGGATGCTGTGCCTCCCTTTTTACTTGCTGCTCCTGCTTCAGCCCCCCACTGACCCCCAACAAGCCAGCTGCTCCTTCCTCCATGACTGCAGGGAAGAGCTGCTCTGCAGCCACCCTGCATTTGTCCTCAGAGCATCCCGCCCTCTTGGGCTTCTCTAGTTTGTCATCTTCCCTTTGGACCAGTCCTTCTTTGTGTCCTTTGCCGGTGCCCACCCCTCCCCCACACACATCCAGGGCTTTTCTTTCAACAACGATGATTGTCTTTCCAACTTGACAGCGATTCTCAACCCTAGCTCCACAGAAGAATCACAGAGGAAGATTAAAAAAAAAAAAAAAAAATGGTATGTTTCTCAAGTTCAGCTCCAGGACAATAAAATCAGCTCTGAGCATAGATATTCTTGCACCTTGGTGTTTCGGGGTGCTGAAGACCCTCAGGATCTCAGGCTGAGCTCTCTCCCATCTTGGAGAGCAGCATAAACACAAATGAATATTTACTTGTATCTCCGATTCAATGCATCTAAATTATCTCTCCAGTTGCTTATCTGGCCCCAACCAATGGTCTCAGCAGGAAAGCCTCCACTTCCTTTTCCTTCGTGTCTCTCATCCGTTCAGAGGCTCGGCTCAGCCTCGTGCTCTTGCGTCCTCTCCTTCTCCCACTGTTAGCCTCAGTTCCACATCCGGCCCGACTCTGAGTATCTCCTCCCAGCACACGCCTCAGTACAGCACACTCACATCAAATCATACGCAGCGAACACAAATTCAGCCGTATGCACTGCGCAGGCAGAAACAGGGGCAGAACCTTCGTTCTCCCCGTCAGCTCAGCTTGCACCCTACTCCGCCAGCCAGACTTTGACCTTCACTGCCCAAGGGAAGGGGACCTCCCTGGAAATGCAAGACATGGACTGACCCTGGCATGTCCTGGAGTTGGACGCACGCTGCACGCTACCTGGTCCACAGTAACAGAGCCCTTGCTAAGACCGGGTCTTCGTGCTTGTTATCACAGCAGGCAGTTAGAGAACCGCGTGTCTGTTATGTTGTCGCTCCGTCCCGATGCACCGCATTCCCACTTAAAATCCTTACGGGCTCCCCATGCCTAACACAGACCTTGAGAAATCTTCAGAAATCGCCTGAAAAACCTATAAAACAGATTTCTTAAAGCAGATTCCTGGGCACTGGCTTCCTCAGTGAGCCTAGGAGAACCGTTCTAATAAGCCAGGGGCTGTAAGAGGGACATTTTGGAGAAAACCCCCGTGTTCAGTACAAGATGCAGCACATGGGGGCCGGCCTGATAGCTCAGTGGACTAAAGCGCCCGCTTAGGCAGAGCGTAGTAGCGGCCGCAGTCGGATCTCCTGCAAGCAGTGCCGGCTCCACCCCCAGGGCGCTGTGAGACAGCAATTAAGACTGGGCGTGGTGGGGCGCCTGTAACCCCAGTGCTTGGGAGGCTGAAAACGCGAGAATCACTACAGGGTAATGAGACCCTGAACACCCTGTAGACCCTGCGCTAAATATGGGGGGGGGGGGTGCAGCACAGACCACAGGACAGGGACTCCTGTCCGGCCCCTGAGGATCTTGAGCCCTTTCCTCCCTCTCCTGTTCCCTGGTGCCTTCCCATGGAAGCAGCGCCGGGCTCCGTCCACCTGGCTCCCGGCTCACACCCGCGCGTCACTGTGGCCGGGTCAAGCTCACAGCCGAAGCCTCCTCCTCGCCTCTCCTACCATGGTCTGACGGCTCCCCTCGCCGCCCTGCCCCACGCACCGTATGAAAGTGTCGTTAAAGCTTCGATGTCCTACAAGACGCTTTCTGTCCCTGCGCCTTGATCCCTCCTGGAGCAGGGGCGGCCTCGGCCGGCCGTCTTCACTGCGCCCTCGGTGTAAAGCCTGGCCGAGGGCGCCTGGCCGTGCGTGCGTGGGCTAGGGCTGGAGGCGGCTCTCGAGAAGAGGAAGGGTGTGTGTGCAGAAGCGCTCATTTTAAAGGTTTAGAGGACATCAGCTCCTCTTTCAAAGTAACCCTCATCTAATATAGGTTTCCCAAAAGAACAATCACAAAGGCCAAAAAAGAAAAAACAGACAAAAAAGAAACTGTGCTTAATAATAGAGGAGTGGGGGGCGGCGCGGGGTGCTCGGAGGGCGCCCCTGGGCTGGGACGGGGTCCCGGGCTTGCTGTGGGGGTGCTGCGCGGCGGCCTGCCCTGCTCCCTGGAGAATCCCACGTTTGAGTCCCCTCCGGTGCCCCTCACCACTGCCCTGCAGAGCGCTGCCGCAGGGAGACAGGTGCGCCCGGCCTTCGGCCTTCGGCTCAGCGGGGCCGGGAGCCGGCGCTCTCCGCGCACCCCTGCTGGCCCTCCAGCTGGCGGGTGCGCGCCTCTGTGTCCCTCTCCGCCTTGACGTGCGAAACCCATCTTTTTCTGGTCTTGGCAGTTTGGGGAAGATGATAACAGCTAAGCCAGGGAAAACACCGATTCAGTTATTACACGAGTACGGCATGAAGACCAAGAACATCCTGGGGTATGAATGCGAAAGATCTGATGTGCAAATACACGTGCCCACTTTCACCTTCAGAGTAACTGCTGGGGACATAAACTGCACAGGTGAAGGAACAAGTAAGAAGCTGGCGAAACACAGAGCTGCAGAGGCTGCCATAAACATTTTGAAAGCCAATGCAAGTACTTGCTTTGCAGTTCCTGACCCTTTAGTGCCTGACCCTTCCAAGCAACCAAAGAACCAGCTTAATCCAACTGGTTCACTACAGGAACTGGCAATTCATCGTGGCTGGCGGCTTCCTGAATACACTCTTTCCCAGGAGGGAGGACCTGCTCTTAAGGGAGTATGCCACAATTTGCTGGCTAGAGTCATTTATGGAAACTGGAAAGGGGGCATCAAAAAACAAACCAAGAGAAATGCTGCTGAGAAATTTCTTTCCAAATTTAGTAATATCTCTCCAGAGAACCATATCTCTCTAACCAATGTAGGAGGGCATTCTTTAGGATGCACTTGGCATTCCTTGAGGAATTCTCCGGTGAGTAGATCAACTTGCTGAAGCAAAGCCTCCTCAGTATTCCAAATACAGATTACACCCACCTGCCTAGTGAAATTGCCAAAGAACAAGGTTTTAACATAACGTATCTGGACATAGAAGAGCTGAGTGCCAACGGGCAGTATCAGTGTCTCGCCGAACTGTCGACCAGTCCTATCACGGTCTGTCATGGCTCGGGCATCTCCTGCGGCAATGCCCAGAGCGACGCAGCTCACAACGCTCTGCAGTATTTGAAGATAATCGCAGAAAGGAAATAAAGTTGGGGCACCTTAGAACATCCTTCGGTAGCACTTCAGAGTTCTCTCCTCTCCTTCCCAAGTCAAACTTTTACTGTAATGTTTGCGAGTTCTTTCAGATCTCTCCAGATTCATCAACACTCCAGATTTAATTATCTCCTGGTAGTTGCTACTAAGCGCTTTTCAATGGGTTCAACTTTGTATTGGTGTATTGTATTTATAAACTTTGTACCACAGGCGTGGTGTCGCACCATTTTACAGAGCCAGGCACGTAGGAAGAAGGAACTGCATGTTCGGATGATAACAATGAGAACAAAGTAAAAGTGCTGATGGCAACATGCATACTGGTGCTTAACCTCTTTCGCACAAGGCTTTGTAAGGGGGATCTCAAGGAAGTTCTTTAGGATTAGTGTTGAGGGACAACATTAACCAGCTCTTACAGAATGATGGTAAAATTTCAGGGAACACGATTGGCCTGCTGTGTATTCAGAACCATGTAATAAAGAACTCTTGTTATAAAAAATAATAATAAGAAGAAGAAGAAGAGAGGAGCTCATCAGTGAACCAAGCCAGAAGACAGTGACTAGATGATTGGTGAAAACCTTGGAACCCGGCCTCAAAAAGATGCGGTACAAACTGCTCATTCCTGTCCCATTTTGTCCTTTAGGAAACCAGATCTTCTGGGTTTTTCCAGAAGTCAGAAATCAGACATTATCTGTGAATTTTCCTAAATTTTAAAGTCATAAGTTACAATGAACATCCAAAATTGCAATTATAAAAACAATTTAATTCACAATAGAATAAGAATAAAATACTTATAAGCAAATTTAGTAGAATAAATACAGGACCTACTTCGAAAAGTATAAATACTGTTGAAAGCAATTCAAAAGGTGAATGAACAGAAAACATCCCAGACGAGGGCCTGCACCTTAGCTCAGTTCTTTAAGTGGCTGCTTCAACAAAGCAATCAGGCTCAGGTTGCTGTGGTTTGATCCCCACAACACAAGCCAGCCAGTCATGCCTTGAAGGCATTCGGAGAAAAAAAA